GATCACCTCCATCAGGAAGGCCTCGGTGTTTCTGTTTAACACCCTTTCACATTCCCATTAACCATCCATACAGTGTGACTTCATGGAAATAGAAAACTTTGAGAGGTCGGGCGTAGTTTCTTTTCTGTCGACTACAATCTAGTAACCTGCTATTTTAGCATTAATTATATTTTGCAGGTGTTCCAAAAAAAGCACCCTAAAGTTGTCGTGAGGCTCACCGGTAATCTCTACGACTGAAGACTACTTTGCTAATCCGAAAGCAGTGTTTTATTTTTCTATAATTTGTGTGTACAGGCTTTTAATATGTAGTCTAGAGATCTTTTCTAGAGAACACTACACCAGCTAGCTTTTGTAAACATTGCGATTAGGAGGCACTGGATCCTGGATTAGAGCAGAGAGTGTTTGTATTTGAGTTTAAGTATCTCCCCTACCCTCGGTCCGATCTACTTCCTGTTTGTTTTTTGGTTTGCTGAGAACCCGATGGATAATGGCGCTCCGTGTGGATCAATTCGGATCAGCGATTCTTTAGAAAACTGTGAAAAACAGCCACTAAATAGCGCGTCTGTACATGGTGTTGAACACGTGACGGTACAGGTGCCCTGAGCGACCAAAAAGGACGTCTTCAGTGTCTGAACTTTGACTTTCTTCCAGAGCATTAATCAAATATTTAACAGGCTTTGTTTCTGAGGCTATACACTCGTAATGGCAGTGTTTGATTTGAAGCTGCCGCAGCGATCACTTCCTGTTTCTTCATCATCATGTCAACAAATATTCAGACTATTTAAAACATGGAAACATCCGGAGTGTTTTCTCCCCGTTTCTCTTTCTCTCTGTGGTCGTGATCCTATCTTTGAGGTCTGCTCCTCTTCCTCACTTATCTAAACTATCTGTGGCTGATTCTCTGCACTTTCTGATTGCTATGCATCGGGCCTGTTCGCTCCGTCATGGCTGTGTGTATTATAATAACAAATATAATAAATAATAACAAAGCTCTGTATTTATTTCAAACTAATTTATTGAACAATGGCTCAAGAAACAAAAAGCATGATCTCGACTGATGACTGTATGCGTTGGATTTTATTAAATGGATCTTGATTCATGTGAAACACAACGTTGTCTTTATTTGATCCCACTTTCAACACATCGTAGTTCATGAAACCCCCGCTCTCAACCACTAGGACTCATTATTCTTTGTCACAATGTCCCCGATCACAATCATTCTTGTGAAGAAAACCAAATGAAATTGTTGTTTTTTAAGCACCAGGGAGGAGAAAACACTGAATGTATCGTAAAAAAGAAGTATGTACAATCATTCAAAGAAAAGAGAATACAGAGAATTGTATCATAAGTGCCTAAAAATAGTGGAAAACTCATTTTCACATCTGAAAACCCATCAAAATTGCGAATTTGTTCATTTAAACACTTTTTATGCATTTTTTATTATTATTATTATGCATTGAATAAAATAACATAACATATCAATCAGCGATGGAAAAGAGCAAAAACTGGTTAAGTGCATTTTCATATCAAACGTATTCCAGCTTCAGAAGAGGGGTGACGTTTCATGTGTTTCGAAATCAAACCCCGAAAATGTGCTTTTCCCTTCTTAAAGTTCGTCGTCCACGGCCGGACGACTCGTGCAAATCCACAGCAGATTCCCCAAAGACAGACGCACGGTTTAAAATACAAACATTTGTGCAGTACAGCAGATCATGATCACAAAAAGGTGGTTTTCAGGTCTGTGTTCTCAGTAGCAATGTTGCTTTCACTCCACAGGACGATAGAATCATATTTATTATATTCACCGTGACCCGAGGCACATGCTAACGGTGCATTGAATCCAGCATTACAAATTAAAGGGGGACATTAAGTAGTTTTTTCTACTTCTAGTTCTTACAGCTAAAGGCAAGCTAGATTTAAGACTTTTAATAACAGTAATTATTGTTGTGTGGTTTGAACATTAAACCAAAGCCAGGTGGACTTTTTGGAGACAGCTTGTGAAATGGCTGATTAAACGTGTCCAAGAGATGCTATGAAACAAGAGAGGAGAAGGATTTAGTCCTGGTGTGTTTTTAAAAACAGTCACAGTAATAATTATTCATGCGGTGAGACATGATGGGAACAGGGGGACGTTTTGTCAGTTGTTCTGCTTAAAACCATGTTGGAAGTTTTTATAAACCAGTTCCTAAGCAATGAATACTGTGGTGTGGTTAGAAGTATGAAGAATAAACCTTTGGGACTTGTTGGATTAAAACCATGGCTCTTACTGTCCAATGGCTGATTAAATCAACAAACTTAGGAGGAGGAGCGTGGTACCAAAGGCATCACAAGACATAATGGGGACAGGTGGACTTCCTCTGCTTCAAAGCACGTACTGGGTGTTTGAAAGCTGGTGGGTGTTCATTACATTACATGTCACTTGTTAGACACTTTTATCCAAAGCAACTAACATACTCAATTCATGGTAGACAGAGCGTGATGCTGACTCCCTCCCCGATCCAGCATGCGGGGAACAGCTTCCCTCTGAAGGCGCAGTGGAAGGCGTGGAGGCGGACCTGTCCGTCCCCGAAGAAGCTGAGCGTCCCGGCCTCGTAGTCCAGCAGCATGCCGATGCGTCGGTGCTGCGAGGCGCCGGACAGAGACTCTCTGCGGCCGGCGTGCCACGCGGAGATCTGATGCTCGTCCAGCTGGAGGCTCCACGAGAGGTCGTTCATTCCCACCATGCACCTCTTCCCCTTCTCCTTCCTGGGGATGGCCTCGTAGGTCACCTGAGGAGAGGAGCGGGGAGGAGGAGAGAGGAAGTGTTCATTTTCCAGAAATATACGACATACTGTTAGAAAACTCTCCCTGGTCCCCGGCTTGAGCTTCAGTCTCAGGATCCATGTTTCTGTGATCCTCTCCAGAAGGAGTCATCACATACAGAGCATCAACTAGTTCCTGAACAGTGTCCTTCACATGCTGATATCCAAGAGAGGGAGTTACACAGTCACAAGATGGAGGAATAGAAAGCAGTATTCAATGTTTACTTCAGATTAGCTCCACGTCAGAAATGATCATGCTTGTCATATGTCTCTCTCCATAGAGGCTGAATCATCATGTTAATCACATAGCTATCATATGCCTCAAACAGTCCTGATGCTCTTCTAGGTCATCACACATCCTGTCATGTTCACAGCTACAGTTCATACCTTAGTTATCTGTGACTCTCATGTTGGAAGAGGACATTCAGGATTGTTAGACATAGTAAACGAGACTATCTCTTGAATAAAAGAGGACGTTGTTAAGCCCCAGGTAATACACACTATAACATTGTTGTTCTTCTTACCCCCAGGTAGGCCCAGGGCTTGGACACCTCCAGCTCCCAGAAGTGCTGGCCTTGCGTGAACCCCTGGAAGCAGAGCACCTGCCAGGTGTGGTCGAAGCGGGCCGCGTCCAGAGGGACGGAGTGCGGCCCGGAGCTCAGGTGCTCCGCCCGCCGGTTCTCCTGAGAGAGACACAGGTGACCGTTGGCTGTTCGGGGGTCAAAGGTCAGCGAGCAGCGGTCTGCAGGAGGAGGGGGAGGGGGTACATCACTTTAAACCAGGAACAGATATCATGTGTTTACGGTGTTTGTGCACGGTGTACATGCTTTGTGATTTTTCTAAATTCACTTAGATATATATATATAGGATATTTAGAGACTTTAGTGAAGTCTTTGTGCATAAGCTGCCGATAAATACTAGGCGAGAATTTTATTTATTTTATATTTATTGACAAAAGAAAGATGTAAGATTATGAAAAATAATACTATGAATTTATGACTCTTTTAAGTGCTAAG